TGTGAATACGTTGACATCAAATTGAGGGATAAGTTGTTCATTGTTAGGACAGGTTAGCAACATGTTTCAGACACATGGTCTGTAGACGAAAAATCTGATCCTGTACCTAGTTTACACATTAAATCGAAACTCATAGTTGCCTCTCCTAAACTAGCAATATACAGATTATGTGAAGGAAGGATATAATAACCTGAAATTTATGGTTGTAATTCTTTCTCCTAGGAGTACTTATTGCTTACCATATTAGACATTCTTCTATGCATTTCTTGATTTCAGACTAGTGGTTGAGTGATCAATTGAATATCCTTGTGAGTTGAATTAGAAGTAAGAATGAACCTTCATGTAGTGTCAGTTTGAGAGAACAGCAGGTCCACTTCTAACGACTTATCACATTTCTTACTAGGTAACACTTATTATCACATTGCATACTGTTTGAGGTTTCTTGGAATCCAGATGAAAATATCATATCACTGACCGATGTAACAGGAACATCATTCAGCTAGTCGATGAGTACTAGAAGCAATTTAAGTCGTCATTTCTCACTACTTAGCGATGTTTAAAGACTGTTCTACATTTTTCTATCAATCTCAAGCTAAAAATGTTAGGGTGTTCAGTTTCTATGTGGATGTCGCCATCTGAAAGGCAACATTCCTTGGATTAAATATTCGATTCACATTTCTCTATACTTCATTGTATGAGAACAGGACGAATACATGAGGGATTGCAATTCAGAGTGTACCCTATTTTCCAAGCAAAGTGCAGATATCCTTCGACTTCCTTTGCTACAAGTCGTTGTCGTTCAAATTCCATATATATATATATATATATATATATATATATATATATATATGTTTCCATCCAAATAAAACACTATACTGCAACAAACTGATTTGGTGAATTGAAAACTCACGGCCGCAAACGAATTACGAGTCTTTGTTTCTACGTTTATTCTTTCTGAACGAAAACCACGTCACCATGAGCATTACTGAAAAAAATCATTTGTCATTCGTTAGAGCGACGGTGTTACCAACCAAAACCACTTTGAGCATGGGAATGACTATTTTGCAGGTTTCAAATATGTGATACAGACGAAGTGTTTTCTTCCTTCATATGAAAACTCCTGAAAATTTCTTCCCAAGTAATTTTATCTTGGATATACTGTTATATAATTTCCTCTTGTGAAAGCTGATTCACTATGAATTCAAAAAACAATGAAAAAATAACGATACAGTTTCGATGTCTTAGTGTGTAAACTTTCAGGTTAAACGGAGAATCATGACCATAAATACTTTTGCCTGAGACATTCAGTAACCTAAATTTTGATGCTTCATCTGATCAGAACAATGTGAACTAGTTGAAGACAGATATTTTGGTGAATAAACCCGTAGATTTCAGTCAACAGCCTCGTCTATACGCGAATGATGACATCATGAATGATGAGTTAAGGTTTAAACTTGGTGCCTCCTGATTACTTGCACAGGGCTCTACCAGACGAAAACAAACCAACCAGATAATAACTAGTTGATCTTTTGGATTTTGATTGTGTATCTTAGATGGTCGGTTGAATTGCGATGTTTTCGGAGATCTTCTGGACAATATCTTGAATGCAGCCTTTAGCATGAAGTGGATTTGAATTCTGTGTGAATGAATTGGTTGTATCGCTATAGAGTTTTAGACATATAGATGGACGCTGCATACAATCCAACACGATCACTTCATTCGATATTGTGTAGACTAGTGGATCAAACACCAATAGAAGATAAGACGAATGCCATTTACAAAGTAAATTGGATGAGATTCTCCAAGTATTCTCTTGTTCAGAGTAGGTACTATCGTCGAATCACAATTCAAGAACATAAATTAGCTGTGGAAAGGCACAATATGTATTTCTTCATAACGATCCATATAGACAGCTGTCTAGGAAGACAGCGATAGTTTTGTAGTCAAATCAATCAGCTCAGAGAACACAACCAAGTCAAATTCATTCACTTGAAATACAGAATTACTTTGTTATTTGCATATCACCATCGGAAAATAAAAATGCTATGGAATGCAACTTTGTCAATGCTTCAAGACTCTGTAAGTTCTTTTAATCCTTGAAGTGCATCACACCATTTAACTCTCAAGGATTCCTCGTTAATTCAACGGGTACTGCAAAACGGGAAATGTTAGTTGCTAAGAAGGTTTCGAATAACTATCGTTCCATAGCTGCAGTGTTGCTGAGGTGGAGTGCATGTCCGTACCCTGAATTTCTGAAATATATGTTCCTTGTTCCCCATTAAATAAGTCTGTTTAATGTGACACACGGTGGTACAGTATTCATAACCGAATGATTCTACCTAATAATATTAGGATTGTAAGACAATGATTGTGTCGAAAAGTCATTCAGTTTGTAATAATGTATCACTGTGTTGTATCAAATAAACCAACTTAGACGGAATCATATTTCCCCCCATTTTCTAAATTCTACTGTCACAGTGAAAGTCTTAGTATACCAGAATTTATGGCAGGAAATGTGACATAATTGAAATTTCAAGGAATTCGTTTATCGTGTGAGTACTTCAAAAACATCTAAAGTTGGTCAGTTGTAGTGCAGAAAAGCGTAGGAGTTAAAGGGAAATATTTTTCCGCTTAGTAAATAGATCGTCACAGTGACCCGTCTTGTATATTTGGTAGACAGTAAAGATATGCCCTATAATGTGATACCACTATTAAGAAGACTGTTTCACTCACCTGCAAGCGTTTATCATGATCAGAGATCAGGAATTGTTTGTTTTGAAACTTCACCCCAATATCTTGGAAGGGATCACTGAAACTCTATCAGAAGATTCAGTTATCTTGGATTAGCTCCCATATTCAAAAAACAAGAACTGTTATTTTCAGATGAGAATCCCCTTTGTACAGAATATTGTATTTTTCTTTGGAATTCATTAACTAAATGTGATCGGTGGTCAGAAAAACACATCACACCCCTCAATGTGCCTGTCCTAAATTGAATGTGTCATACTCTCCGTGTGTGCATCATTCAACATTTAGAAGATTATGTGATACTTCAAGTCTTAGAAATTAACCAAGTACCTAGAAAAGACTTTTAACGAATCGGATAAGTGGAATATTTTGATCTTTGCTATTATAATCAAAGTGTCTCATAATAGTAAATAGCTTAAATTTAAATAGAAATAATTAGTTCGCTAAAGTCTGATTAAGTATTTCTGAAACGTGAATAAGAGGAGGAGCATATCTAATTGTAAGTTCTGCGCGATGTTGTTTATTTCTTCTTTGCATTTCCTCTACCAGAGTGACTGGTAGGACATCAGTAATAATCAATTAGATATGACATAAGCGCCGCGACATTGCAGATATTTTGTGATGCGCTTCACCTGAGCTTCACTTATGTCTACGCGATTTGAAATTTCAATGAAGAGAAACGTGAGCACAAAACTACAGCCGATTTATTTATTTCTGGCACTTAATAGAGGGATATTCATATTGCCCTAATCATTGTATCAGGCACCGATTGCTGTAGAAACTAGATGAACTGTAGCCGTCAGGTAGACGAAAATGTCTATCTTGGAATTTTGAAATAATAGGGACAGACATGTTTTGTATACGTATAACTGAATTCTATTGTCCAGAGTCCACTCAACCGATATTCACTGCTAATTATCAATATTTAAGTGGGTTTGCTAAAAGACTACTGGGCAAAAAACTGTGAGATTCTAATCGACTCTAGGAACTATTCAAACTGAGTCCTTCTGATACAACCCACCAAGGTCAACATGAGGATATTGTGTGTTTTTGAAATTTGCAAGAACGAGTAACGTGATATAATATATGTAGAAGTGAACGGTTTATTGAGCAAGGGAGTATATTCCACTCTCTAATTCGATTCTCCATAACGGATTTATACTAATTGTGTCTAAAATAACAAATCAAAATCAGGCGAGTTGGACTGTCATGAGAAGTATCAGTTTTGCTGCTTTGATAAGGAAGAAGCAATTAGCGATTTTAAACTTGTTAGTTTTGAAAAGTTGGGAACAAATGTTCACAACATGTGATTCATATTAGTTCTCTTATTGTATATGTCATGCAGTGGAGCAATATGACGTTTGGAACAGTACTCGTAGTTCATAATCGTAACAGTGCTGGTGATAATTGCTTTATTGTGAAAAATGAGTTTACATACAACACAGAATTTTCAGTATGATTTATAATAAAAACTATCTACTATGTTATATAATAGAGAACAGTATATCAACTCATGGGATATTGCTTCAACCGAGGCATGCTGCATTAATCTACGATATTTCTCTACGATTTTCAGTCAGAAAATGAGTGGGAATAGTCTGACATCTATTTGAAAATGAGCCTACGCATAGGGACTCACTTTATACAGATGAATGCTGATTGCCTCTGCTGATTGAGAAATTTGAAGTTTTAGAGCAGTAAAATGCCATAAATAACTGTAAATGCTCCATTACTGTCCACTTGATTTCGCCTTATTTAGTCCCTTTCGCAAACAAAATGGGTACTGTTTCGAAATCCGAATTGTCTTACGAAATAGGCTCCACAAGAGTATCTAAGGTGTGACATACAGAAAAAATGGCAAAAGTTATCAGGTTATCTCTACTTCACGAACCAAATATTGATCAGCTAGTGGATAAACAGTAAAATCTGTAACACGTCTTGTGCTACACATAGACACATATATGCTGATAAAGTACTATTAGGTGTGGCTGATTTGTTACGGGCTTTGCTGACTTCTCAAACTTTGTCATGTATTGTCATGCGTTCTCTTAGCTAACCGATTTAGTTGTGAAGCTTTTGTCGTCATTCTGGACAACATCTTTACCACGAAGTGAGCTTATTTTTACTCTTAATAATGTTGTCCACAAGGAAGACAACAGCTTCATGATTCGATGAACCAACCGAGCCATCTAAAATATTCTCTATTTTACCCTTCATACCGTCTTTAATTTATATGGATTCTGATGTCTTAGATGAATGTCACGGAAGTGTATAATATATTTACGCACACGTTTGAATATAGCACCTCCGATGGAAGCGAACATACTTATGTCTCGAACGAGTACATAATTGCAACAATTGTAACCATGTAAGTTTCATTCTGGGTGTTCACTTTCTCTGTCTCTACTTGAAGTTATATTTGAGTACGGAATTATCACCGTGGAATTCAGTTTTCATTTCATTGACAATTGAAGCGAAAATAAGTATCACTGCAATCCAAATAACTTGGACTCATCAGCGCAGACGATCAGGTAGAAAACAGAGTAGGTATACCTGATGGAAATTACCTCTTATTTCCTACAAAAGTATGTACAACTGTTAAATAATCTTCCTGACAATCTGTGTGTGTGAACAAACTGTGTTAGCCTGAACATGAAAACGCTCACATCTACTAGTCTATACGGTGTAGCATTACTCGTACGAATAAATCAAATCGCCTCTTTTATTAGGATTAGTGAAATCATTCCATCATGGCTAATATTTGAGTCAAAACTTCTATTTTAAAATGCATGGTATTTGGCCCCGCACATCATTAAATGCAGGTACAGGCCTCGTACATACTGGCTTATTTAGAGCAACTTCGCGCACTTCGTATGAATAATTCCAAGTGTTCAAAATCTGTTCTTAGGGTTATAAAATACAAATAACGCTGAGCAGTAACATTAATTGCACGAAGGATTGCTTCATTGTGTGGTGAATGAAACCGAGTCGAGGTTGCGTAGAAGCAGAGCATCGATGCTTCAGTCCTACTGCATAGCTGTAGAAAATTCCTTGAGAAACCACAGTCATGAAACGCTTCAAAGGTAGCAAAAAGACAACTGTCCGTGATAAAAATCTATGTGCGGTTCGATTAAGTGAGATGAAATGCCATTATTATTACAAATATTGTGATGGGATCATCCAGGAGTCATTTTCCTGACATTTGTTGATAACAAAGAAAGCACCATGACAGATCAGAAGACGAATTCTCATACAAAACTACACATTCCAATTGTGGCGTTACATAATTTGTGCAAAATCTCCGTTTTTTGTTTCAGAATGATGTGTTTGTTGCTGCTCATATTGCTGTTCATCGAGAAGCAGCGTAACTTTCCACCAAAACCGTTTGCTTATGCACTGGCCGCATTGATGGTATGTTGACAACAGTACGACTATTAACTAAGATGTGCTTTTTGAATCTCAAAACAGGAAACGAATTGCTTTCTCTTCAATTTTCTGGTTAAATAACCGAAGTTGGCGATGACTCAGGCAGTCGTACATTTAGAAATGTAGTTGAGAATTCAATTATATTTTACTCTACTGACAGAAAGAGAATACGGTAATGCATTGCTAACGGACTACTGACAATAGAATACATGCTTAATACATAAATACAATTTTGGTCAACACATATGCAAACATTTATGCATTACACTTTCTCATATTCAGTAACACGGCCATTTCACAAAATTCTGAGATGTTTGGTTGATAAGTAGGATGACAGCTCACCGATGAGGGTCTTTCTTATTCTGTAATATCAGAAATAAGGCAGGATCGTTTGATAGACAGACGATGACATGCAGTCTTATGTTCATTAATTTGAAGGAAGACTTAACTCATGAAAACAATTGAAGCCGAGAAATCTAATCTGCTCAAAAGAGGCATACTCAATCTCTCACGTGTTATTCAACACCTTTGTAAAACTGCCTAAGTAATAATCTGAAAGGACTGCGAAATATCTTCACTAATCAACTGTTGGTCTCTCTTATCTTCTCACTCATGTTTATTTAAAGTGATTTCTCAACTGTTCAATGAATCCAGCCTAATATTATGCTTTTTTCTCTGATTTCTTTAATCAGGCTACAATCTGGTTGATTTCTGACTCTTTTCTATGCTGCAGTGATAACCTTGTAGCACTCAATAGATTTCTCAGTGTTTCTATTACACTACACGTAATTGTTGGCTTGGTTGCAACCTACGTTGGAAAATTAAGCTCATCTAATTGTATCATACTCTTGGCACTGGCAACGGTAGCATTTTATGGTGGCGCAGTATTTTCAATTCTGTTATTTAGTTTAGTTTCCCTAAGAGTGTTAATATTCTGACAGTCGCAATGGGATATTTAGTTTAACCTTACCTGTTCTGCACTTTTTTCAGTGGCCTCAATATCATGTGTTCCAGTGAAATGTGTATTGTGTGTCTGTAGCCACCGTCATTCTCTAACTCTGGTAAAATGAACTTGTCTAGAATCTTACTAGTTAGACTACCCAAAGAATATATGTGACAGTATATGGCAGGATCATTTTGTGCTACATGTGTAGTCAGGTAGACAAATGCATATTCTTTCGCTTGCCTTTAATTATCATTGTTTTACGTCTTCTGAAATAATCCATTACCCCTCTGAAATCAATAGAATAAATAAGTAATATAAAATATGAAATAATATTAATACTAAATTGTGCGTCCGTGGAACAGTTGTTAATGCTGGTAGGCAGGAAAGGTTGAGAATGAGGCTATCAACCACATCCTGTTAAATTAAACACTGCTGCAGAAACTTCAAGCCACTAGCTTGAGGTCCTATGTTCCACTGCGAACGTGAAGGAAGAAAACAATAAATTGAATTAAATTTCGATTTTCCCGTTGATTGATGGACTAAGTTTTTAGGCGTCAGTTGATATGTCAGCTGCTTGTGTGAATGCTTCGAATACAACTTTGGTGTTTGCAGTGATGGGCACTGTGTTCGACTTCCATTTGGAATGAATCTCTGAAAGATGATTAGAATATGTGTTACACATGTCTATTCATCACGTTTTTCCACGGGAAGAGTTAACCGGCATAGGATGGACGAGGTGAGGAAAGAGGCAGTGGTGGTCAAACCAAAACATGGTATCAATCGATGAGATGAGTGACAATTACTTAAGGACATGTAGGGAGGTGTAGACTGCCTGACTGGTCGGAGTCCACGGGTTAGAAAGAACCAATGACGACTGGAGACGATTAGTGATACGGGCAGCTCAAAATCGTTCACAATGGCTGGCGCTGACGCATTCACCACTATTGATCTATAACTGACACGTAGCTCAGCGAAGAGTCTGTTTTCAGCGAGATTATTATCTGTAGCTGTAAAATCGAAATTTTACTTCTCATGGAAGAGGGTAGTAACAAAAGTGACAAATCCTCAAAATCGAAGTTGTTATTATTAGTCAATGTATAAAAGGAGCTGCACTAATAATATCAATTATGATTGTGGCAACCCATTACTGCTAATTACTCTCCTATTTCATGAATAAATTATATAAATATTGTACGGCTAAGGGAAATGAATTCGCCGGGAAGAGCCTCTTCGCTGAACTTCGTTTTTGTTTTCATAAATGTCTGGAGGGGAATCATTCATGAATTTTTTCATATTTGTTTCAGGTAATGTTCAATTGGATGGTTGGTGTTTTTTGGAGTTGTTGTACTTCAGCTATTGTGAGTCTTTTTCTCAGCCTTAATATAGTTAACTTGTTGGTATGTAAACGAGCTGTTTCAATATATAGTTGCGAACAAGCCAATAATCATTGATTATTGAATGTGACAGTTCTGCATGAGCATTTCAATAGAGTAGACTGGCGCCCAGCGGAGAATATTCTTCCTCTAAATTCTCATCCACGATGTATAACTAAATGGTGTTCCCTAAACCTTATAGAAAACGCCAACACAGGACGCATTTTAAGGTTTGGAGTAAAAAAGGGAAGAAAGACGATAGAATTCACATCAATTGTTGTAAAAGTCAAAAGAAGATTCAGCGTCATCGTGGTAAGACAGATAATGAAAAACAGTTTTGAAATACACAGTCCAACGCTTCTCCCTTCTCTATGCCAAAAGCTTTCCTCGAAGTGTCTCTGATCCATCTGTATTTACTCCAGGATGTTTCCTGTGCAGTGGATTTTTGTTCGTTATCTTAATTCCTTGTTGCTTATTCTGATCTGATCTTTAGTATAGAGCCAGTGATGGCAGCAGTTTACAAAAAAGTGCAACTTGGGAGAAATATTTTTCGTGACACGCCAAGTTTTTGACCTATATCGAAGAAGTGACCGACTTAATTTTGGAGTTTAAAATAAAGGTTTGTTCTTCATACCAAGTGATGAAATTTCCAAAATTGATTTCAGAGTGGTGAAGATCATTTTATTTCCAAGTCCAGTTTAGACATCGCGCTCCGCTCTGTCATTTTATTTGAAACAACGCTGTCTAGATAAGTGAATGAAGTGACTGACTTCAGATCTGTTCTGTTGATAGGGATTGGTGCTTGTTGATGTAGTTGGCTGATAATTTACACTACATTTGTCTTTTATATGTTCATATGAAGTCATGTTTCTGGTTTTTCTTGTGCCACTTTGTTTCTTTTCGCTCGTAAGTCTTCGAGATTCTGTGACGTGCGACATAAGTTGTCCGCGAAGTCCATAACTTCTTGAGTCTTATTGTCAGTCCGACATATTCGTCTTCTCGCTTCCCAAATTCTTCCATATGGTGCAGGCCAGCACAATTAGGAATGTCACCTGGGAAGTTAGGCAGGCAATTTTAACCCGTGCTCACACGTCAAACGCTGAGGTTTCCACTCAGGACCACATCATATGTGGTGTTGGCGTATAGATGTTGAATAATGTTGATGAAGATTTGTAGCTCACTATAGTTTTGACAGAATTTCCAAATTTTTTTACAGTCAACGCTGTCGGCCTTTACAAGACTGACTGAAGACACATCAACTACAGAAATTATTCATATAAATCTCTCCAAAAGTTTCTTCCTTGAAATGTTCCTTACATTCAATAAAAATAACAACTTAGTTGGTGAAGGGTGTAATAAGTTCTGGACACAAACTACAAATTCATGAAACCAGATGAGCAGTTGAAATTGCCAGGAGAAGTGGATCATAAAACATTAATACAGTAATGAATTTATTCATGTGCTGACTCGGAACAATGTTGTCAAATTACTGAAATTCGACGAGAAGAAACACGTTGCTGAATGGTGTTGTTCTTTGATTTATGTCTGGATGGAAATTTTCCGAGAAACTGCTGTAACTCTATACAAAAAATTGTAACCAGGAAGTTTCAACGGACATTCATATCAGGAGCGAATAAATTACGACGATCAGCACTGCTTATTTTGCGTAAACACTTGAACAAACGTTATGCGTAAATAATAAACAAGAATATGTGCATGTGAATTTCAGGTATTATTCAGGATTTTACCTATATAATTAGGACACTCTAAACTTTTTCACAGCTTAAAATGATTTGATAATTTAAGCTGTATATACATGAAAAGTGTTGCGACCTATCAAAATTAAAGTTGAACTAACCGCTCGGATTTGAGCACTCCTGACTTTGTGTCACATGTATAATCACAGAAACGTAGGGAAATATCATATGGGTCGCTCAAACTCAAAATATCTCATACAGACATGTTTCTCAGTTAGCCAGGTTCTGTTTTCTTAATCCCTTATAAACCTAAAGGTTTAGCGAAACAAACTGCTACATAACCTCTTTTGAAAATATTAAATAATACCCTTGCTCACCTTGAATCTTTTAGATAACATTCGTCGTAATGAATCAAATCTACTGGTCAAGGAGGAAATAGCTTCGATATAAGTTGGACACTTTGATTTCATTCATTTGTATCATGATTATTTACTTTGATTGACTGCATGAAATCTTTGAATTATACCATAATTTGATTCTGAATACATTTCATAACTTTCTGATAGACTACTTCCTCATCGTATATGCAATAAACATTTCGAATAAAACAATGTATACTTTTATAATCTGCACATCTATCAATGTCAGATAAGTTTATAAAAATATGCGTAACTGAAATACAAACCTGGGTCGCGAAGGGATCCGAAACATCGCTCTTCTATTAACTAACCTAGCTCTCCACCAGATCAGATATCAAGCCACCATGTATTAGTGACTAATGTGCATAGAACTATGCTAGCTTAAGTTCCCATCGGTATTAGATAGAAGCATTTCTTGTTCTCGTAACTCTTATACTGCACACAAACCTCTTCCATGTTCAAACGTAATCAAAATTCATTTGAATCAAAATGCACAGTAAAATGACGCACAAATAGTTGTCAATGCAGCAGTCAGCTGAAGAATATTAAAACATCCTGGGATACTCTTTCCATTTACCGAATAAATATGTGAATAGTTTTAAGAAGATAATACAGCGGTTAAGGCCTTACAAAGAAAGCAGATGTAATTGTACTAATCTCAGTGAAATTGAAATAAGCTATGCTGACGTACATTTGGTTAACCTATCCCAACTTCTTCAGTTGGTTGAACTCCCAGTAGAGTAAAATAATATTCACTTTGCAATTCTCTTTCGGTTATCAAGTTCGTACAAAGCAAAACGAATTAACAACAGCACTTTCAACAGTAGCAATAATAACAGCTTTATTCTGAAAACTGCATTTAGACAGATTACAGAACTTTTAGCGAATTAGTCAGCAAATCTTCAGATAATATAATAACCGATAATACGTCATGTGAAGCAACATTGTTCTATCCAAAGCATGTTCTATCACTACCCTAAAATGATATTCCTCAATTTCCCGCGTAAAATACTCCTCAGATAGGTGGAAATTTACTTGCAATTGTGTGCTTTTAAAGATTACGACTCACTGTGGTAATTTGAAGAGTAAAACAGTATGAAACTGAGAAAGGAAAGGTTCTGGTACAGAGACAATCTAGGTAGACCAGTGATTTCCAAAATACACCCCTCTTGAGTTTCTGGAAGCACTATGCCACTTCAAAGCATGCTAAGCATAGAAATGGCCTTTGACGTAAAGATGAAATAGCGAATGATGGAATCCTTTTCACCTCAAAGTCCCTGTCACATATGGCTGACAGTTTATCTGCATATTTAATGTCGATCTCAAAGCGTTCAGTAGCTTGACTATGCTGAGTGACTGTTGCTTATGATGTGCAACCATCTGCTAATATTGGATAATTAAATGAGCCCATCGCACCAACATAGATTTCATCTCAACTCAATGATGAAACTGGTTCCAAAGGCGATCGTCATCACGAGATTGGAAATTTATAGTGATCAGGTTTCGCACATGCACTCAAAAGTCGACAGTTCGAATCACTTAACAAGGATATTTTATTGTTAGGATTTCAGTTAGTCTTTATAAGCCTGAAGCCACTAAATGTCTTTTAATATATTAACCACTACATTATTATAAGGAGCAGGAAAATTCAACAACGGCTTTCACCACTATACAAAGCATATCCTACCGCGGACTAATAAAGGAGAAAGGAGGGATGTGAAAAATCCTTCTCCGAAAAATTGAGGCCTTCTCCAGTGAATTATGGTTGACAATAATCTGAGAATACCCCATCAGTTTCACTCACACCTTTCGTGTCTATTTTGTTTACAACTACTCAAACCACTGTGGGATGTGGCTACTCTTAAAGGGAAGCTAGATAGTTGTGAACCCTATCAACGAGTACATCCACGTAGTAAAAAATTGACTTTAAACAGTAGCCTCTACTTTACCTCTACTATTAGATATCATTGCTGCCGTCCATTTATACTCGTTACAGCGTTGACACCACCGAAGCGTTTTAATAAGTTAATGAGTTTCCAGTAAAATGTGACATCCTCGATTTAGTTGATCTTCACTGTCCACCATTTTCCTTACTACTTCCAAAAATGCAGAATATTTTTATTTGCTGTCTTAGCTTACTAACTACTTCTATCAGTACGTTGGACGTACTTACCGAGAAACGGTTTGTGAATGCAACGGGACAGCTATGTGAATGAGCATGATTAAACAACATACTTCACCGAAGTAACTGTTCATCTCTTAATACTGATTTTATCACTAACCCTCATCACTTGGTGAGTCATTAGGAACCCTAGATTATTATGTCAGTCGAATTTAGGACTCTTCAGTAATGATGGCACCGGTGATTGACGTAGGAGCCTCAACATACGTGGCCAGCCAATCGAAAGTTGATCGAAGGAGACAGAAGTAGTTCATGGAAAATACCCATATGGACATTAGAAAGAAGAGAACACGAAGTTCAGCATAGAAATTTTTTCGGCGATTTCATTCTCAAAAGCTGCACAATCGCATTTATAAAGATTATTTTACATGAGTACAATTTTTATTTGTTTAGTTCCACATACTAACGAAGGTGATAATACTTTTCAACGTGATCTGAAAGTTTGAAGGTAGGAATATGGATTACAAGGAGCTACGCGACAAGATTTCATAGGATTATAAAATAGTTACAAGGTATGCAAAAAAATTATTATTTGATAACTGCAGAAATAATTTTAAGTCAAATAGAAGGTGATAATTGTTTTCAACTTGATATGAATTACAAGAGGCTTAGAAACGCAAAATCGCACAGGATTAAGATATACCTGTAAAATAGTTATTATAAATGTGAACAGGAAAAGCATGGAAA